GCCATCCCTGTACTCAGCTGGGCTTCGGCTCCCTCTTCCTATCCCCCCACCCTTCTCACCCAAAGAGCATTGCCTGTGAAGACAGGAGCAGTAGGGGTGAGGAGCTGCGTACATTCCTCACCTGTCCTGAAGACATCAGGCCCGGGCACAGGCCCAGCCACTCCTCCCCCAGTGTCCTGCTCTGTGCACGTGACTTGAACAAGGCAAGCCAGCGGCCTCTGCAGCTTAGACAGCTGAGTTAGGGTGTCTGGCTTCTTGCATTATTCTCACAGGTCTGTATCATAAGTTTTCTATCTCTAAGGGGACTCCTTTTCATCTCGTATGCCCTCTCTTTACATTTCTAAGCTAAAACGAACTAAACTAACTAAACTGAGCTAGAGTTCCCTGGGGCATCCAGACTGATTTCTTGCCTTCCTTTGGATTTTCTCAACTTCCGTCTCTGACAAACAGAGGCTCCCAAGCTTGGTGAATTATCTTCCCTTTCATCTTTATTGGGGAATCTGCCTTCTTAGTATCTAAGGCAGCAACCCCACTGTGCCCATTCTTCTTCCCTTTCTCGGCTATTATGACCCTAAATCCCAGTTGTTTTCCTCTACACTTCTCATAACAGCTCATTCCAGTGTCTATTATTGCATTAATCATACTGTATTTTTTCATGATCTTCATGTCTAACTCCCTTGATTCCAATCATGGGCTTCTTAAGGGCAGGGACTGTACCTAATTCATCTTTCTGCTGAACGAATGCACAGTGCCCCATACATTCCAGTGAATGGATGAGATGACAGAATGACCCCTTTCTTCCAAGGTTCCTGCGACTTTCCTCACAGTGCCGGTTACTGCTTTGGCAGCCTGAGAGATTAAATTGCCACTTAGGCAAGTTAGGAGTGTATCAGGTGCTTTGCTTTTAGCCACGTAAGATTTCTAGCAGGTGCCTGGATAGTTGAAGCTGCCCATTACAATAACTTGCCTCCACTCTATTTTCATGGTATGTTAAAACAAGGAGATCAATCATTTTGTCCACGGGGCTTGCGTCCTATTTGCCCTTTTCTCCCTGTCTCCTTATCTGAGGTCTGTCCACCTTTAGATTTATAAGTTTTCGTGCAGTTACTTATCTTTTTTGACACATAACACTCCTCCACCTTCCTACCTTTCAGGATTTTTCTTTTTCTTTTAAAACCTAATCTGTTCATAGGTCCTGTCCCATCTAGTTTGTTATGAATTGTATTTTCTGCCTTCGGTTGCACGCTCTCTGCATTCGGGTATACAGATATCTGAGGCTACACAGGTTGTTTTCTGATCTCTTCCCAGCCATTTTCACAGATGGACTGTGGGATCCTCATGAACACTAATTCTTTTCTCATGCTGTCCCTTCTGTCTGCTTCAGAGTAACAGATTCCCTACTCTCCCTAGGTACTCCTTCCCTTTCCCGGCGGGGCTAAGCCCTGGGCCAGCTCACCTTCAGGCGCGTGCCCTGCCCTAGTCCCACGAGACGGCTGCTCTGCTACAGTCGAGGGCCAGGAGAGCCGCACAGCTGATTCCTTCTCCCTTAGAGAGATGGACAGGGAAGGCATGGATCGCCTTCTCAAGGCTGCTGCAACAAAATACCACAGGCTGGGTGGCTTAGAATCCACAGAAACTATTCTCTCACACCTCTGAAGGCTAGAAGTCCAAACTTAACGTGTTGTCAGGGTCAGGCTCCCTCTGAACTTCTAGGGAAGAGCCTGCCCCATGCCTCTCGCCTTGCTTCTGGAAGTGGTGGGCAGTCCTTGGTGCCCCTCAACTCACGGCAGTGTCACTCCAGTCTCTGCCTCTGTCTCTACCTGGCCTCCTTCCCTTCTGTGTCTCCCGTTTCTCTGTGCCCAAATCTCCCTCTCCCTTTAGGGACGCCAGTTGTTGGAGTTAGGCCATACATACCTAATCCAGCATAACCTCCTCTTAACCTCATTACATCTTCAAGACCCTATTCACGGGTGAGGTCAACATCCACAGATACCAGGCATTAAGACCTCAATATACATTTTTAGGGGCCACAATTCAATATGCAATAGGGACTGTTTGGGGAATAATGAGTATCAAGGAGGAATGGATTAAAGGGTGGGTGGACTCCTTGCCAGGGCCTTTCTTTTCAAGTCACCTAGATGTCCTAAGTGCTCAAGCTGGCAACAGAGTGTATAGCAGCTTTCAAACCCTTGACAAGAAGACCAAGCTCAAGATGCATGGAAGGTTCTTTTCTTTGGGGACTAGAGGATAGATTTAGCAGTTCCTCTGAATTATTAATATGCATGCCAGGATCTGCTTATTCCATGATTTGCATTTGTTTTTCCATGATGTTGTTATCAGTCACCTTCTTTCCCTGAGCCTGAAGAATAATGGGCCATGAGAGTGACAGTGTGAAGTGAAGTGCTGGACAGAACAGCCCAGAGTGCAGGTCACTACTACGGGTGCTCTCAGAAATGGAGGGTGACATGGGACACAGGGTCCCTGTATGACTCTGACCTTTCCCTGCATTCAGCCGCACTGCAGGGCGTGGGGAAATCCATGAAGCCAAGGGAGCCATTTAGTAGACATAAGCATGCTGTCTGCAGCCCAGGCAGGGCAGTGGGGCTGAGCCGCAGAAGCTGAGCCTCTCCCAGGGGCGCTGCGGTAGCCCAGTCTCAGCTGTCCACGGCTGGAGCTCTGCAGGGACCGCCTCTCTGCCACCACCACCCCCAGGCTTCAGGGCAGCCGGGTCTGAAACAGCCCAGGCCAATGGGGAGGTTTTCGGGGCCCTCATGGCCCGTGTCTTTATCCTTATTGCCAGTGCAGGGCCATGGGCAAAGAGTGAGGTGTTGGGCATCACTCTGGCTTGGTTCCATGATGCCTATTCTGGCCAAGCCCTGGGGAGTAGAAAAATGAGTTGATTACAGCTGCAGTCCTAAGAGAGCCCATGGTCTATGGGAGAGACAGACGTGTCAGTTAATGTTGGTGTAATGTGAAGGGCTGCAAAAATGCTGCTGGGGAGGGCTGTGAGAGCACAGGGGAGGGATCGCCTAGGCTGGCCTGGGGGGCTGCAGGGAGGGCTTCCTGGAAGAGACGACTCAGAGCTGAGCCCTGAAGGAATCCATTTGCTAGGCTGAGAATGGGGTCAGGCACTCAGGAGAAGCAAACATTGGTGAAGACCCGGGGGGTAGTAAGTAGCAAAGAATGGGGTGCAGGGGACCTCGAAATGGCTAGAAAATAGGTCAATGCCAGTCGTTTAAAGAAAAACTCTCTCCTAAAACTCTAGTATGTGGTCTTATTTCTAATACCTGAATGTTTAAAATGCACCCCTCCCCATGCTTTCTTCCCGTCTGCCCCCATCCATGCAGCTCTGCAGCTGTTCCAGGCTCTCCCTTTCCCTCAGACCTCCTGTCCCTGAGCCCCTCCTTCCCCGGTTTCTCACTCACTCACAGAGAGACTCAGGGCAGTGGCCCCGGGTGGAGGCAGCAGTCATGGGGCTTTCAAGGCGAGAGAAGCTGAGCCTGTCTGAGCTGAGAGTGCTCCTTTCTCAGGGTTCTCCTTGGCAATGACAGAATCTGCAAGCCTTTTGTAATAGCTTCATCCAATTATATCGCCTCCCAAGGCATTGCCTCCTGCGTGACACCAGGTAGCCAAGAATATCGAATGCAGAGAAACTTCGGTGGAAAATCCAGCTGGCGCCGGTCAGCCTCTGAGCGCACAGCGTTGAGCTTATTAGCTACGAGCTCAGGACAGGTCAGAGTCTCCAAGGCCTCATCTCACGTCTCCTTCCACCCGCCACGCACCCTGTCACTTAAATGACTGCCACTGCATCCTTTTCGCCTCCTTTCTTCCAGGTGCAGAGAATGAGGCACCTGCCCTCCCTACGGCCACTCTCCACCTGTGCTATCTCGCTTTTGCCTTCCTGGGGATCTTGCCTGCCTGTCATCTCTCCTCCTCCTCTGTCTCCAACCTTTCCCTTTCTGCGAGGTCCTCCTCTTCAACCCGTAGACATGGTCACCCCGAAACAAACCTCCCACTGGCTTCTTCCCAATCTCTCTCCTTCCCTTTCCAGCCGAACTCCTCAGGATCGTCATCTCTGCTTCTGTGTCTCCTGTTAGCTTCCTCAGTCTACATTCTGGCCTCATCATTCTACTTAAATTCTCTTATTAAGGCTGCTGATTTTTTTTTTTTTTTCAGAATGAATGGATATTTTTCAGACTTTGTTTCATGGGCCTCTTTGCCATGCATGGATCACACACAAGGCCCTGCGTGATCCGAGCCCTCCCCGCCTCTCCTTGCTCATCTCCTGCCACGCCCAAGGCCACACTCCATGCTCCAGCAGCACTAAATTGCTTCAATTCTTCATATTTATCAGGATTTTTCTCTGTCCTCTGGGCTTTTGCTGGGGCCAGGCCCTTTATTTGAAATTCCCTTTTCTTCACTTTCCTTCCTCCTTGACAGGCCAGCCCCTAATCGTCCTCGGGGACCAGGGACACATTGTCTTCTGCAGGCATCCCTGATTCTGTCCCCAGGCTGAGTCTGGTGCCTGTGCACATATTTACTTCTATCGCTGCTTTTATCACATGATATTAATATTATTGTCTGTTTTATGCACATGCCTGTGAGCTCCTAGGGAAAGGCCCGATGTGCTTTATCCCAGCATTTAACACAGTGCCTGCACACAGTGTGTCTCCTGGTGAATGAATGAATTCTGCCTGGAAGAATATTTATAGAAGAGGAGAGAGTTGAGAATTTTGAAGGGCAAGCGTCGCCCCCTGGATAAAGGAATAGTGGGCAAGGACGTCCTTGCTGTCTTCGGTCAGGTTCCCTAGAGGCATGATCTGAGGTGGGGACGCTTGGGGGAGTGAGGGAAGCCCAGGGTAGAGAGCCCAGCAGGGAGGTGGCCTAAGCTGGAGACCAGCTGTGGCCTCAGCTACCGGGAGTTCTGGCGCGTGAGTTGGTCCCCAGTGCTGGTCAGTCATTGGCCAAGTGCTACCCTTGGAGTAGAAGGTTGGAGAGGAGGGGCGTGACCTTCTGGGCACAGTGGCTCCCCTGGCCAAGGCCAGCTGTGAGTTGTCATTAGCTCCACACTCCACAGTCACAGGGACTGGGGAAGGGGGCCCTGGGTGGGACCCAGAAAGAATCCGTCACACTTGCAGCACAGGAAAGGCAGGTGGAGTGACCCCGCTTGGTCCATTTAGGGGACTGCAAACTGTCCGGTGTTGCTGGTGTGGAGGGTGCAGGTGGGCGGGGTCTGAGAGGTGGGGCCGCTGCCGCAGAGCGGAGGGTGCTGTGCTAAGCACGGCAGACTCTGTACGTAAGCCCTGGAGAGAGTTTAATATCAGATTGACTGCTTTCAATTGCATTAAAAAATATTGGCGTGGCAGTCGTGAGTGAGTGAATGGAGGAGGGGGCAGTCCTGCCACCAGGGAGGCAAGTTAGGAGATTATGCAGTTGTCAAGGTGAAAGGTGGCGAGAGTCTGAAGCAAGGCAGGAACAGCAGGGTGGGAAGGGGTGTCAGCTCCCTTCTCCAGTGGGGAGAGAGATTCGGAGGTTGGGGAAGGGATTTCTGGTCAGAGAGTGGTCTTCAGACATTAAGACGATCTTAAGACACGGGGAAGACCAGCTCTCCTGTGAGCCCTGCTGCAGCCACTGACCTGGCTGTCTCTATGCACCGTCATACACTAACTCGGCCATAGGCCATGGGGTTTGGCTCATCTGAATCAAAATAGGTCAAGGGCAGTGCAGTTCTGGAGTTTCATGTTAAGGGATTTCCCTGTTGTCTGAGTTCAAAATATATATGGGCGGAAACACGTGTGAAGCGCCCCCTCTGTGGGAGACATTGTGCTGGGTGCCTAGGGGGTGTTGAGGGGAAGGTGGACATAAGGGTCAGTGAGATGGGGGTCCTGCCCTCAAGTTGCTCGTAATCCTGTAGGTGAGACAGCAGCGCCCACGCCCAGCCGCAACATAAGGCCAAGCGTGAGGTCTATACGGTGTACACAGGCTGGGTCTTGGCCAGGGGTGGAAGAGATACAAGAGAAGTAGAAACAGCAAGCTCCAGTTGCGACGGATGAGGGAGTGATTAATTCTGATCGCGGGCTTGGAGTATCTTGCCTTATGGAGGAGGTGACACTGGAGTGGGGTCTGGAGGGCAAGAGGGACGTTGACGGGTGGAGAATGGCATCCCAGCAGATGGAAGAGCAAAGGAAAAAATTATCCTTCAAAGAAAAAATATCCCCCCAAAAATAATACATTGGGACCTAAAATAAATCCATGATAGAGCTAGAAATAGAAACACAAGAGTTCTGGGTTTTGGTATTTTAGTCTAAACTTTAATTGATTTCCTATTACCCTCTCATTACCTTGGAGAAAACAATCTGAACTCCTGGGGGAAGTAATTCTATGTGAACAGAAGGCATGGAAATAAATAGGTATATTAGTGTACCAAGGATAGTCATTTAAGTCTGTTCAAACCCTAATAATGATAGTTGACTGACATAAACAACACACATGCAAGGACTGCATTCAGCTCGCTCAAACTCCCTCTGGGACTTGTCTTTCTAGAGACTAATCATTGGAAGAAGAGCTGGGAAGTCTCTGGGCCAACTGTGTTTCCCCACTACATCTCTCCTCTTACAGGTCAACAATGAACGGCTCTATCTGCCCCTGAAGCTGGGACAAGGGAAGATAAATATCTTTTCCTTTGGCTTCCACGTGGTGGTGGAAACCGACTTTGGCCTGAAGGTCGTGTACGACTGGAAGACCTTCCTGTCCATCACGGTGCCCCGCAGCATGCAGAACAGCACCTACGGCCTGTGCGGCCGCTACAACAGCAACCCCGACGACGACCTGGAGATGCCCATGGGTCTGCTCGCGTCCAGCATCAGTGAGTTTGGGCAGAGCTGGGTGAAAAGGGACACCTTCTGCCAGGTGGGCTGTGGGGACCGCTGTCCGTCCTGTGCCAAGGTTGAAGGTTTCTCCAAGGTGCAGCAGCTGTGCAGCCTGATCCCCAACCAGAACGCCGGCTTCTCCAAGTGTCACAGCAAAGTCAACCCCGCCTTCTTCTACAAGAACTGCCTGTTCGATTCTTGCATCGACGGGGGCGCGGTGCAGACCGCCTGCAGCTGGCTGCAGAACTACGCCAGCACCTGCCAGACGCAGGGCATCACGGTCACCGGCTGGAGGAATTACACGTCCTGCTGTGAGTCCTCCCTCTTACGTTCCCCGTGGCTTCTCCTCATTCCTGATTGGCTGGGGAGGCCAGTCTTCCAACTCCATAGAAGTCAGCGCACACCGAGTAGAGCGATTTAAGGACGTGCAACTTTGGAATTGAGTTTGTTACCCGAAACAGGATACGTAACCTCCCATTTCCTTATCTGTAAAATGGGGTTAATATCACTTATTTCATGGGTTATCCTGAGGATGAAATAAGATCATGCATATAAAGCACGGGGCATCATACATGGCATTGACTCAACAAGTGCACGATAAAAAGCTAACAAGAAACTAACAGGAGAAGAGTTATTTAGTCAGTTCTAGAACCTCATGGGCCCATAATTGTGTTGATAATTCACATACTAAGTATGTCATCTATGTCATGTTTCAGGCTTTGTGCCTATGAAACATAGCATAATATTAAGAGTACATTAGAGAAGGAATTAGAGCCTCTGGATTCCAGCCTTGACTCTGTCCTTAAGGATTTGTGTGACCTTGGAGCAATGCATTTTCCTCCTCAGTTCTCAGTTTCCATCTCTGTGGAGCAGTGGTAATGCTGCCTGGGCCATTTATGCTACAGAGATGTCAGGAGGATCAAATTAGGTAATTGAAAGCCCAGCACACTCTATGCGTGCTAAGTGGTATTGATATGAATGGCTTGCTCTGAGCCAAGCCCAGTGCTAAACACTTTATCAGCATGATCTCATTTATTCTTCTCAATAACCTAATTGATCAGGGAGAAACTGAGACTCAGAGGAGTTAAGTAACTTGCCTAAAGTCATATAATTTCTGGGGCAAAGTCAGGATTCGACCTTCTAAGCCAAAGCCCATGCTCCCATAGTCCTCTTCACTGGTGGATTATGTACTGGAATAATTTGGCACTTCAGAATAGGAAAAAGTTGGAGGGAAAAACCACTCTTGGCCATTGGCTAACCCACCTTGGTCTATTTTCCCATCTCAATCTCATTAACTATAGCAAATTTCTTTTAGAAGGTCTGATTGTACAAAAAGGCTACAAATTGATCCTGAATACATAGAACTCTAAATAAGTGATGCAGCAGGGTCCCCAGAGAATCAACTCCCATTTTCATCCTGGAAAAGGGAGATTTGGGTGAAAAACCTGAAATAGTCTTGTGGTTTACAGTCCATGTAATTGGATTCATGTAGATTGTGGAGGAAGCAGGGGAGGCAGCTAACCGGGGAACAGATGCCAACCACTCAGTCATCCAGGCTGAGTCCTGAGGGGTCGGGTAGGGTGACTATCCAGACAGATTTCCCTCTGGTGACTTCAGTAAAACATATATGCCTATAAAAAAGCTCGAGTCTAGATAAAGCCCCAGAGCTGCTCTGGATTCATTGGAGTCAGCTCACAGGACCAGAGAGTTTTTCTTCCTCTAAATCAGGAAACCAGGCTCTGGACCCAGAGGCCCAAACATGGTACAGTTTTGGAAGGGGAGGCTCAGCCTGTTTCCTCTTGAGACCTGTGAGAGAGAGTCAGTTTCCTCGCTACCTGCAGCATGCCATGCTGGCTGTACTGCTCTCAGGGTGGCTGGGATGGGCGCAGGTGTAATGCAGGCCAGAAACCATTGCTTCTAGCTGCAGTGCACAGGGGCACGTGGAGAGGGGGCTCATTTTAAAGTGTCTGATGCCAGGAACTGTCACCTCAATTGATGGGTCTCAACGTTTAGTCACTCATGGGAAGGAAAAGGAATTGAGTTAGCCAGCCTCATACCCTTACCTCTGAGGACGAAGGCCACCCACCCCCACAGAGCCTGGCTAGGGATAGAGGATGTGAGGATGATGTTTCTCGTTCTCCTCTTCCCCGCTCAAAGTTCCGCACAAATGCTGGTCACCTCCTCCCCACACTGGCTAACTGGTAGCGGGGAGCTCTGCCCACGGTGCTCAGAGCCGAGTCCGCCCTGACTCGTTCTCAGCCTGGGCTGCCCACCGGCAAATCCCCAGTGAGTATGTCAGGGCAGCAGACAGCTTAGAATCGTTCCCGTCATCAGGAGTGTCAGACCTTGCCCTACTTTGGCATTTCAGGACAGGGCAAAGATCCAGAAGTTAGAGCACCGGAGGAGATGGTGGTAATGGATGGCAAAGAGAAACACTGAAGTAAGAGAAAAAACATGCTTTAAAGATGGCATGTGGTGTGGGATGGGGGTGGGGGTGGGGTGCAGTTGGAGGCAGCTTGGTTTTCCATTTTGAGCTGCAGAAGCAAAGAAAATCTGGGGGAGACTGAGTCCTAACTCAGCCATTCAGCCCGAGAAGAGGGTTGTTTGTTAATTGTTTTGCTGTGACTCCAACCTCTGGGAAGTGAAGTCAGGACTGACTCTTCCCCTCCGCCCCCGCTCCCTGCCACCTCCCATTCTACTAAAAATCAATCCAACTCAAACACACATTGAGGTATGAGAGATGGCACTTTCGGGAGAAAAGGGGTTAAACCAGAATCGCCCATTAAACTTGTGCTTTTTTTTTTTTTTTTGATGTGTAGGCACAAGACTTTTTAATTTTATTTTACTTTTTTTTTTTTAAATATCAGAATATTACTACAGGGGCACAAATGTTTTGGTTACATAGATTGCTTTTGTACTGCTTGAGTCAAAGTTATAAATGTGCCCATCACCCAGATAGCTTGTGCTTTATTGGTAACAAGGTAGAATGCTGGTGTTTTTCAATGATTTGACTGTTTCTATCAATGTGATAATTTATTACTCAATTACCTAATTGGTAAACACACTGGAAAACCTCTTCACCCAAGTTGAACAAATAGGCTTAGAGGGAGAAGGGAAGGTAAATTGTCTTAATGACTAACCCCTCCTTAAAATTCATTGGCTGGGTCTATCATTCTTTCAGCCACTTAGCGGGGGGCTTAGAGTACTAGACAGTAAGGGAAGAGCATAATAAATAAATAGATGACAGTTCCTTAGTTCTCACTGTTTGAGAACAGCCCTGTGCTGAGTGAGATCTGGGAACTCACACATCTATCCCTCATGACAGCCCTGCAAAGTAGGTACTATTCATAGTCCCACTGTCTTTTTTTTTTTAATTAATTAATTTATTTTTTCTTTTTTTTTCTCTTTTCTTTTAGCATATTATGGGGGTACATGTGTTAAGGTTACATATATTGCCCATGTCCCCCCCCTCGAGTAAGAGCTTCAAGCATGTCCATCCCCCAAATGTTGCACATCTTACTTTCTAGAGGAGGAAATTAAGTAACGTTCCCAAGGAAAGTGGTTTGGGTAAGTTAGGAGGTGGCTCCAGAGACAGTGCTGTTCCTGCTGTACGGGGCGGGCCCCCTGACCCAGACACCCAGCGCCTGCTGTGTGGTAAGTGGTCGGTCACAGTTGGGTGTCACCACTCTGTTTCCCTTTCAGCAGAGGCAGCTTTTACTATCAATACTTTAGACCCAGTGTCCTGGGTCTAAAGTCTGATCATTAGGGTTTTTCTTACATATCTCTCTGCACATCCAATAAATTCTTGTTGAGAAATTTTAAAAAATAATTCCTCCTCCCACTACAACTACTATCATTAACGGCAGGAGGTTTTTATTGAAGGGCCGGGCACCGTATAAGGAGCTTTACAAATTGTATCTCATTTTGTCTTAACAGCTACTTGATGAGATAGATATTATTGCCCCCATTTTTATAGGTGAGAAAACAGAAGTTTGGACAGGGTACGTAACTGTAACTAAGTAACCTGCTCAAGGTGACACCGCTAGTTAGTGGCAGAGCCAGGCCTCAAACCCAGGTCAGCCTGATTCCAAAGCCGTTGTCCCTTCCTATTATGCTAGATTGCTTTTCAGGGGGACCCATTCATCCTGCCGCCCACCCAGGGCACAAATGCTAAGTTGGTCTGCTGGCCATGGCAAGGGACATGTTTTTGACCACAGTACAAATCCAGGTGCACGGTCCCGGTCATTGCTCCAGAACTCTCAGTACTTCATGTGCTGGGGAGAGAGAAGCCGTGAATCACTATTGGGAATTTGAAAGTTTGTTTTCAAGAACCAAATGTTTCTTAACCATCTGCCATGTTCTCAGCACTGTTTTGTGTGCCATGGAAGAATCAGAAATATAAAATATGGTGTTTACAGTCTAGTTGGAAAAATACGACCCATTTAAAATACTCGAAAGAACAACATCTCTAAATTGATAGTACATCCTCCCAGATGTTACAATGGATTGTAGACCTTCAGCCACTGTGAATACTGGCACTTGAGCAAGTTAAACAAGTTAAAAATATAACAAAGTTCATACTGGCACATGAACAGAAAGAACCAACCGTGGAAAGATGAGAAAGTCCGGAAACAAACCCAAACATGAGACAGAAAATATATATGGTAAAGCTGGCATTTCAAATTACTGGGGGAAAATGTGTTTATTATTCAGTAAATAGTAAAGGGACAAAGGAAAACTAGCTGGGAAGAGGCTACATCCCTCCTTCATTTCTCACTCCAAAATAAAATCCAGACAGAACAAAAGGTAAACATAAAATATTAAATTATAAAAGTACCAGAAGAAAACAAAAGAAGTTTTTTTTGATAATCTTGCAGTAGAGAGGACCTTCCTGAACAAAGCATCCAAAGCTATGAGGGAAAACTTGATAAATTTGATCACATTAAAATTTGATATCTCTCTGTATGGCAAAGACATAATCAAAAACAGAAAATATACAATAATTTTAAAGAAGTAGTCAAAAGACAAATGATATTTTGTAATATATATGACATATAATAGTCTATTTTAATTTAAAAAGAGATCTTACAATTTAATAAGAAATTTCAACACACAAAAAATGTGCAAAGAACATGAAAAGGCAGCTCACAAAGAAAGACATATGAATGGATTATAAACAAATTAAAAAGATGATCAATCTCACAAAGAAATGCAAGCCAAATAACGAGATAGTACATACAGCATTTTCACCTTTCATATTCCCAAGAATTAGAAAGTTTGGTAATAAACAATTAACGAGGGTGTAGGAAAA